TTTCCTAATACGTTTTTCTAGCATACTCACAGCAGTTCTGATTTCGTATATGTGGCTTTTTGTGCTATTAGGGGCTTTTAGAAACAATTTCTGATGTATAAAGGCAATCCTGAGTTTTCTGAGGGCTTTTGTTTCTGGTTGGTTTTGCCAAATAGATACTTGTTTCCTGTTGTCCTAAGTTGTGTTACGGTAGTGATCAGTAATGATCGCCACTGTTTTAGGTGCAATGCAAACACAATACACAGAGAAAATTCTTGCCCAGAGAACCTTTTTTATTCTGGCCAAAGGGAGAAATCAATATACATTGTATTGTCTCATAGACTTTACTAGGTTTACAAAAAAAAAAAAAGGCACTTTTTCTGTGTCAGTAGTTTACAGTGTATTCCCCTGTCCTAATTATATTCCTGATTCTTTGCCTAACCTGTCATGAATACAGCCAGTGCATTTCTTGAAATAAGGGAGTTAGTACCTTGGGCAATTTCCGTGAGGAATCCCAGACAGCAGAATTGGAGTGCTTTCCAGACAAAGTCTCCTTGGCCCTTTGCCACTTGTGAGTGGCCTCATCTTAACCTCCAGACATCATGTAAGTTTTTGAAAGACATCAAATGGCTGATGAGTTAATCACTACGAAGTTGTCTCCCAACATGAAGGATTTAGTTTAAAGTAGAGAAAGTGCAGAGAAAATTGTTACAGCAAGGTAAAAATGATGGCGAGTCCTTTTTCATGAATGTAACATGCAAACAGCTTGAAGTGTGAGGATAACATGGGTACTTTAAAAATTATTTGAAGTAAGGTTTTTAAATATTCAAATCTTAAAATTTGTAAAAGTCTGCATTTGCTTGTATCTTGATATCAAAAGAGCAGAACTTGATGCCAGCATCTGAATTACCATGGACCATTCAGAGAGGGAGCCAGGCTTGCTTACAGAAGTTACCTTGCTTGAGGACTGGACCGGTTGCCCAGCTCAGGGAAACCACACAAGAGTTTTGCACAGCCCTGCTCCTGGGAGCAATCATGTTATAGCCAAAGCTCTCAGCAGAACTGCTGCACCTCTTAAAGCAGAAAGATGTCCAAGAGTGTGAACAGACTTTTCCCTGGACCTAGCTCAGACTGTGGAAACATTTTCAGTTGCTATTAAAAAGCATCAAATTACAGACAACAATTTCAAAATCTTTAGGCAAGCAGGATAATTTGAGTTTAAAGAACTGCTTAACTGGAATTTCACCCAGTCGTGACTGCCTTTTAAGATCATTGGCAGCAAGTGCCCATGAACAGGTTTCATATATTAACTGAAGTAGAATAAATATGCCTTTTTTTCCAGCTGCTATTGCAAAAGCTGTGGAAATATCAGGAACAAATTGTTAGCCAGCCATGCCTTAATCGCAGTGCTACGGACGTGCTTTCAATTGGGCTGCTACAGGGTGTTGCCTCACGCCATTCTGGAGAGGTGACTTCTTAGCTCCTTGTGCTCTTGAGGTTTGATCTAAGCCGTGCTCTAATAATAGACTCTTACTAACTTCACCTGGGCTTGGATCCCATACTTAAAGTCTTGGTTAATTAAAAAAAAATTGTGACCAGAATGCCAGGATACAGCCAGAGATGTGTAGGAAACGCAACATAGCCCACATCAGAGAAAATATTGTAAGAACAGTGGTGTGCATGCCTGAATGGTTCGTTCCTGCATGGTAATTATGTGCTGTTTCACATTGTTGTTTTGTGGGGAAAACACATTCTTGAACGTCAGGAAATAAATTGGCAGTTTTAACGTGATTTCAAACACAGCGTTTTGACACGAACTGATTTATTTCAGTTACAGTTTTGCTTATTTAGCTAGCCGTGATTAAAACCAGTGTTGCCACAAATATAAAAATACAGAGATATGAATGCCAGATAGAAATAGAAATTGCTCCTACGGTTTATACCATTATAACACCTTTTGGCTGCAAATTTCTCGATTTGGGTTGGGAGGAGAGCAGGTACTGCCATTTGGGGTACAAGTAGTCATCACAATACAGTTGTCTCTGTTATCAAACAATGTTTTTTTAATTGGTATTAAAGATTAAGTCCTGTTCCTAATTATAATACCAGTGGGCAAAGCTCGACTGCAGATGTCCTCGTGCCTGAATTTCTGATCTGAAGAGCAAAGATGATGCTTTTTCAACTCTGCGCAGTTACTGGAAACTTTTCGGAGAGGAAATCCTGATTAGCGTGCTGCAAGACATAATAATTGTGGGGTACGTTTCTACTTGGCTGCCCATTCGGTCACTGCTCTCTGTCTCAAAAGCAGTGTCGAGAGGTGTGTTTTCTCATTCCCAGGCCTGCTCATACCTATCGAGACCTGCCAGGCGTGGGGTGCCTTTGTGAAACCTTATGTAATGAGGGCCTGATTCATAGCCCACTGCAATCCCAGGGAAAATCCCCAGTGGCATCATTGGGCTTTGGCACGTGACCAGAGTCTCGGTAACTTCCTTATTTCTCTCTTGTACTTAGAGGATATTCCTCAGCTATACCAAGGCAGATGAGACCACAAATCTTGTCCGCAACTATCTTGTATGAGTAATTTTTCCAAAAGTAAATAAATCATCCCTGTTTCCTCTTACCCACAGCACCTGGCAAACTGTTAACTGAAAAACTGAGAAAATGTTGTTTCATTTGTGAGCCAACTGAAATCGTTCTACAAATCTTTATTTTTAATTCCTTGTTAGAAAACAGAACCAACTGAAACTGGCTGGCAGAGAAAATGTGCCCTTTTTTTTTTTTTTTTCCCTTCTTCCCCCCCCCCCCCGGCTAGCTTAGTAATGTAACTGCCAGTTTCTGTTTTCGCCTCTGTAGAATTATATGGCTGTATTTGAAACTTTTGACAAATCAGTCTATTTTCATTCTCCCTCAGCCATAAATTCAATCCATATGTCTTTAAAACATCCTTTCATAGCTTTAACATGGAAAAGGAAGTGGCTTGGGCTCTGTATAGGAGGCTACAGTGTATTTAAAGCAAGCTCTTCTAGTTTGCATGCATCGCTTCTGTTAGCTCTTAAAGCCTCGACTTCCTAATTATTCAGGTTGCAGAGGGCATTGGCAGAGTTTTTTCCATTAACTAACAGTGATGTACAGTGAAGCAGCACAACAGGATAAATCATTCCCTTATCCTCAAAATGTCCAGGAAGTTTTTGATGCAGCCCTTGGCTTTACCACCAAGCAGGATGCAAAGAGGATGTGAAAAGGGTAGGAGAGATCAATTCAGCATAAAATTTCAAAAGAAAACATCAAGACAAAGAAACAAAGGTCTTGCACAATGCACTGCCATTCAGCTGGCAGGGTTTTGTTTGACAAGAATACAGAGCACCTATGTGACAGGAGGTCACTGCAATAGGAGTAAAGTATCTCCACATCTAAGGCTGAACCGGGGTCGGAAGGTGAGGGTGGGAAGGAAATACGGGTCTAAGCTGAAGTATATTGGTATGGCTGTGAATGGATCAAAGTTGAAAAATCAGGAATACAGGATGCAGCAGGGTAAAAGCGCAGGCAGTCGTGGCTATAAGCGTCTTCGTCTGAAATCATGGAAAATTTTGGGTCGGGGTGTGCTACTGCAATTGCGGGATAGATCCGTAATTAAAAATATGGTGGCAGCTGGACACAACTGAAAATATGGTAGCAGCAAGGGTACAGGAACACTGGCTGAGTGGACTGCAGAAGGCTTTCCCGAGTCCACCCGGAGTGTGGATGCAGTGTCACGCTGTGTTTCATCCGATCCACCCCAGGGTGCCAGCAGCGGAGGCAGGTCTGCTCGCCCACCCCGGCCTCCATCACACATCCATGCTCCCCACCTCACATCAGCTCTAGAGGTCACGTTCCCACTCTTCCCTCTGTGCCACAGAGCAATCATGTGGCCAAAGGATGACAAAATTCAGCTCGCTAATTTGAAGAGAAACGATTCAGCTGATGGATTTCTGGGAGGAAAGCAGCAGAGGCAATATTTTTTTGGATCTCTGTGTTACCCTGACTTCCATTGTGGTTGCAGATCTGCCATGCTCGACCAAAGATAACGGGTGAAAAAGATGATTGGGAGGAGGTGAATGACTGCCCCTTTTAGAGACCGCCTGCATCTTAATGTGAAACTGTATGTGAAGTTTTTTGTAGCATCCCCAGTCTTTGCTGCCATTCCCAGCCAATTCACCCAAATGGTCTCTAATTTGCTATCAATGCAAATGAGCTGTAGGGTTATGCACAAAGTAGGATGAGGTCCCAATAACAACTACGCAAAGCTGCTTGCAAATCCATTGTTCTATTCAGTTACCGTGCATTAATGCTCACGTGTGCAAGAAGATAAAATGGAAGGAGTGTGTGTGTGGTAAATGCGTTGTGTGCAATATAATCATCTTTCTAATCTCTCTAGTAGAGGGGTCATTTATAGAGATGAAAATCTAGTCAACCTCAGAACTTGTGGGAGTAGTCTGGCGTATCCAAAGGTTCACACATGTGGAAACCACCGTCTGCGCATTTGAAACTGCATGCAGGTTCAAAGAACTGGCATAGCCCATGGTTTTGTTTTCAGAGTTGCAAAGATTGCAGCTACCATTTACCTTGGATGGGCTTGAGGTTATCTTCCACACCTCTCAAAATCAAGCCTTTATATCTAGCAATCTGCATACAGCTGTTCAGAGCTAAGCTGTCTGTGCACAGCTGAGTTGTTGTATAAACAATATTAGAGACTTCACTAAAGCTTTTCATGTAGTTTTATCTCAACTGCAATTTGTTTCTAGTTTTTAAAGGCTGTAGAAACATCTAGCCTTATTCCCTAGAGCCTAGTTTCACTCTTTCAACCATTCCAATGGTATTTACAGCACTGTTTGATTTTATTTGAGCTATTCAAAAGACCTCAAGTCCCCCAAGAAAGGTGTGAACGTGTTCAAGCTCCCTATCGCTTCTATCGGTAGCGAGACTTGCTTTTCTGCTCCTGTAACTTCACTTGTAACAGGACTGTTCTTTGCTCTCATCCCCAGGTGTGCTGTCTCTGCCTGCCTACTTCAGCCCATACAACGATGGCTCTGTGTGCAGCGATGGACGGGCTGATGCTTACGCCCAGTTGGAACTCCGAACTTTAGAGCAGTCTTTGTTGGCAACTTGCGTTGGAAGCATCTCTGAACTGAGTAAGTTTCAGATGTAATCGAATGCGGTTTCTTTCAGTGAAGCAGGAGAGCCAGTCCCTCTGCTATTGAGGTCAGTGGGAGCGTTGCCATTGTTGACAGTGTGAGTAGTATTTGGCTAATGTTGTGTAAGATTTAATTGTCTCATGGGGCTGTTTATGAAAATCAGGTTGTTTCATTAGACTACTTTATATTTAATTCACCTTGGAGATGTACGAGATGTGGCTTTTCTAGCCTTTTCGTAGGTAGTGGTGTTAGTGCCAACAGAGGATGGATGCTTTTGCCTAGATGCCTCTGGAGGTTTTCTTGTACGTTTGTGGAACACAGCAGTGGCACCTCCCTCAGATGGCAAAGAGAGTTCTCTTTGTTAGTGTTTGTGCAGTGGAAATGTCAAGGGTGCAGGATATTCAAGGAAAAGCTTTTTGGTTACTTAAAAAGTGGAGGAAAAAAAATCTGAGAGCACTTTGGTAACAAAAACTTGTTTAAAACCTTCTTTTTTAATGCTAACCAAATGAAATGTTCCATTCCTAGACTACTCACAAAGCCCCTTTAAAGTAAACAAAAATGATTTGTGTTTTCCCGGTCTACTTTTCCCTTGCAACATTTCTGCTGGCATCGCTTTCTTAGTCTCCACCATCTGAATGCTAATGAATGTCAGGGCCAGCAAGGAGTTTGTGGGTTTCACCATTTATTTTGCAACCTGCCTTAATTTGAGGTTTTCAAATTCCTTTAACACACCTCTATTTATCCTGGAACACAAGAGAACATTTGTAGCATGGGCCTAAGGTTGAATACAGCTTCCTCTCTCTCTTCCTCTGTCCCTGCTTTGGCCAACTTGGTCATTACATCTAGTGAATAGACCTCCTGATACAGTTGCCTACATTTTTTTTTTTTTTTTAATGTTGCTGCACATTGCCAGAAAAATAAAGAGCGTGAGTGTGCAAAGGAGAAGGAACGTTATTCCGAGCTGAAAATTTGAATTCCAGATGCACTTCTGCTATAACTGCGCAGACTTCTGTGTTAGCACCAGTGCTAGAGGATTCATGATATTCTCGTGAAGCGTTTAGATCCTGGAGAGTCGGGAGCTACTGAAGTGGAAAGGCAGAGATATCAGAAGGTTTTTCTATTCTGAAGTGGGTCCCTAAACTGAATGTACTATGCGACAAATGAGGGGCATACATTTACATTGCAAATTGAGATTTTTAATACTCCATTGATCTGAACCACTAATAACGTTGTCGTGTTTAGACATACAGTAGCTTTGTAGGGGTTTCTCCCTAACTTGTGTAATACTAGAACTCCACGGGTTCAGCGGAGGTTGTTTGGCAAATTCAGTGTATTGCTGTTAGATATAAATAAACAAATAATAACTTCCTAAGAATTTCAGAGGGAGGTGTGACTAATTCATATGTGGCACGGCTAAGTCCAGGGCGCTTTCTCAGGAACCAGCTTTGCGATGGGGCGACTATTTCAGTTCCATCCTTTCCCAGTATTGTATCTGTAGGACACAATAGAGTAACGTTTCCTGTGAGAGTTTTAGGGGACTGTAAAACATAAAGCAACAGAGGATTCTCCCAAGGAAAAAATAGATCCTAGCTATGTATAGTAATCTATAGCAATCATTCAGCTCACTGGTATGGTAGTCACACTACTCAAAGATGTAGTGTCTGAAGCCTTTATTGCAAAGCTCTTACGAGTTTGTAATGCACCACAATAAAAGGAGAGTAAACAGGGTGTGCCCAAAGCAAGCTTATTACACAAAGACCAGCTTTATGTGACTGCATAGCTGCTGTCTTGGGGTCATTGCTCTGTCAACTTTTTAAAAATCTGCAGCCTTAAAATCCTTTCTGAGCAGAAACTGTGTAATACAGGTCGTCTTCTTCCAGGCCTCCTCAAGTCCACTAGTACTCTGACACAGAGGCAGGTTGGCTCGAGTTCAAAGACCGAGAGGACTGAGCAGCCTAGAAAGCTCCTGGATTGAGCTTCTTACAGGGCTCAGGGGCAAATTCTGGCAAGCTTGTGACAGTCAGCATGATAAAGATTGGCTTTTTAATAAGAGAGTCAGGTCTTGTTATTCTGGAGAAACCTGCAGCTAGAGTGAGAATGAGAGAAGCAGACCCTTAAAAGAAGGGATTTCTATATTGAACATAACATCATTAATTTGTCACAAGTGCCTGGGTGGGAGGGTAGAACACCGTAATCCAGTTGAAAGAAATGGGAACGATCTCATAAAACAGTGATGCCAGCAGTGAGAGTAAAGTATTTGTACTGGTGTTACTGGCTTTGCCTTGTGAAAGCTATGCTCTGAGGTTGGGCAGTGGACAATTTACAAAGATACCGCTAGTTTTTGTAGGCAGGCAAGAAACTGGTATATGTGGTTGGAAAGAGGAGAAAACCAGCATTAAAACAGGATAGAAAAATCACTGTAAATCTGCTGTTCTGAATGTGTGGTGACTGAGAGAACTTTCATTCTGTATTTTCTAACTAAAACTTGTCATTTGAAAGGCAGTTAAATTTCCCATACAACAACCTGCAAAGTGGCAGCTTGAGGACAGCTTACGCCTTTGTGGAGGAAGAAGATTACGTGCACACACAAGACATTTCTCTTAGCTGCGAGAGATTTTATTTAGCTCAAGAAGTGTACTTAAGAGGACTGTGGATGAATAATAAAGAGATGCTTTTGCATGCTTTCTCTTTGTGCAGGTGATTTGGTATCACGAGCAATGCACCACATGCAGTGCTTGAACACCATCCGCCCAGGAATGAGCCCCATTCGGCAAACCCGGCAGCAGCAACCCATCTCCTGGTCCCCTGATGCTCTCCACACCCTCTACTACTTCCTACGCTGTCCTCAGATGGAGTCCATGGAGAATCCCAACCTTGACCCTCCTAGAATGACCCTGAACAATGAACGGTACGTAGGTTGGTCAACTGTTAGTAGTCAGGGAGTTAGGCTAAGGAGGTCTCCTTTTGTAGACTAACCGCGTGTGCACGGGCAGCTCAGGCAGCTTTGTGGGATGCTACCTATCAGGCATCAGTTATTCCTGCAGTCAGGCCAGATTATGTTGTCAGCTTTGCCAAGTTTATGAAGCCTTGGAATTGGAACTGGAAAGTGAGCTGTTTTTTCATGCAGTCTTTCCAAGCGAGGCACATACTGTGTGCTGCCAGCAGGGCTTGTCTAGAGATGCTGCCAAAAGTACGTGTGGTTGCCTAAAGCAGTAAAGACCTTACCAAAGAAAATGTTACCTTCTGAATAGCACCAATTAACAATTGTCATCGTTCTCGGGAAAAGCAATGTAGTTTGCTGTGGAGAGGTTTGAAGGGATTTATGAACATCCTTCTTAAGGATTACTTCAGTTGGTGCTGTGTGTCTGGTATAGAAAAAAATTTATATAGGAAGCCAATAACGAAACAGAAAATGCAGTGGGTCTCCCTACCTTCTGCCAGCACCATAACTGACTCTGAAAGCAGGCCCATTATTAGAGTGGTCAGAAATTTTCCAGGGGATGTTTTTTCTGTTAGAAAGCTCCCTGGTTTCCTTCCTGCCCAGCTCCTTGGCAGTCTGCCTGGCAGGCTGGTGGCAGCGGCGAGCCGAGGAGCCTGAGGAGCCCTGGCCACAAGTTGAGTTCCTTGACAGGTCAGGCAGCTCCTGCTCTCCAGCTCCTCAGCTGAAAGGCTGCCTTGCAGTTGCATCCTGCAGGGAGACCCAGGTGCCTCTGGACTTGGTAGGTTTCCCTAGTTCAAAGTGCATATCTGATTGTGTATTTATTTCAGAAATCTTACCTCAATGGGAGATTGTGGCTTCTGATTAACTCTACCCAGTATTTATGCTAGCTTACTCTTTGGATGTCTTTTAGCCTGCTGGACATCAGGCCGATGGCTCTATCCTTGCCCTTCCCAAAAGCAGCCTGTGGTTGGGAAGTTTCATAGCCCAGTGAGGTGTGGAAGCCTGGGGAGGGAGGCCACATTCACAAAATAAAAAAGCAAGGCGCTTGTTGGACAGGCAAGCAGGGAAAGGAGAACATCTCTGCAGCTTTGTAAATAACGCTGTTTCTTCTTCCCACCTTGGGCTTTCCTGTACTCAGCCCCAGCTTCTAAAGTTGATACGAAATCACGGTAACATACAAATAAATAATTCTTTGAATTCATTCTAAAAACCTACAAAAGTTAGCCCTCTCTCTCTTCTTCCTATCCTTTTCTGCACATGTGGGGATTACAGTGCTCTTTCCTCTGCTCCATGCTGGATAGCCTGTTGGGTTTTTTTTTATTGAGATGCTTCCTAATTGCTCTCAGACTGCACTGTCTTCAGTCTGTGCATTTCTGATGCTGCAAGTCAACCCCGTCTCATGCAGATGTACACTGGCCTGCACCAAGCCTGCTGGCTGATTTCAGCAGCCCTAAAGGCTTCTTGTAGCTGCAATCCACCACCATTGGAGCTGTGGCGGATGGCTTCATGGCCAGAGCCTAGCTGGTCAGGAGTAAGAAGACCTCTGAGAATAACAGTAGATTGAACTGTCTCCTTTTAAGGCTCTAATTTTCAGGCCAGGGTGTAGAAAAACATACTGGGCAGAAGTGGCTAGTGGTCTAATTTCAGTCTTGGTAAGTTAATTTAGGTTAAGGGAGACTTCATATAAGGAGAAAAATATAAAGTTGACACTCTTAAGCTACCTTGTTCTGCTACAATATTTTGCATGTGGCTGGTCTGCGTAGATACATCCACTGGTCTCTTGTTTTCATTCTCTTGGTTGCTGAACTATCTTTCTGTACTTTATTGTAGTTTGTACTAGACCAACTTCTTTGAGGTCTCAGTCTGGCAGGAGCTCAACTATTTTACAAAGTAAAAAAGATTGTCTTTCTGTTTGTCTGACCCTGCCCTAAATCCTTTCAAAAAGAACAATCTGTGAGCAGAACTCAATCATCAGAGAGAGGGAACTGCTGTACACGTGTGAAGAACCAAGAGGAATTAATTGAAGTTGAATAAAATAGGAATAAGAAGAGGCATGGCTGCACTACTCAGAGCCCATTGGTAGCTCTGTTTTGTGGGCTCACTAATCTTAGTCAAATGCCCTACCTAGTGCAAGGTTGTTTATTTTGCATTTCATGTTTGCACGCTGTGCAAAAAATGAGTTTTCATGAGGCCAGATTCTGTAAAGTTGTATCACTAGTTCCCACAGTTGTACAGCTGAAGCTGCTAAACAGCTTGTATCAGAAATGTAGATTAAGCTTTCTATTTTGTGTTGTGTTCTTTTCAGTACTCTCAGTATAATGATGTTACTGCAGCTACTTGTTTTGTACACTGAGGATAATAAATGAGTTAAATCAGGAGAGCAGTTATTGCTCCAATTGCTCCCAAACAATGCTCTTCACATGGTTCACCGGAGTTTTTTTGGAATGCAGGCTGCAACTCTATTCTATTTTAAAATCCGCACTAGATCCTATAACAGCTGGTGTAAGGGAAATTTCTGCCATTTTTTTCTGACCAGTACTTAGCTGTAAAGGAAATTAAAGAGGATATATTAAAATGGAGCAAAACTTGACATTGGGGGTGGGGCTGGGGTGCGGAACCAGAACCTGAGGACTATCAGGTTAAACAATTGGCTTTGAAAAGTTTGTGAAACCTGGAAATGCAATTAATACTGCCTGGTATACCAGAAATGAACATCCAACCCTACCCTTCATTTGTTCCAAGATGTATTTGTATGTGTCTTACTGTATTCATCTCTGTGCATATTATTTAGCATAGCCAGTGGAATAAATATTGCTAGCAGCACTTTATACAGGAGATAGTCCACTCTTCCCTAGCTTGAGAGGAGAGATGATTGAGGCTGCGTGTGAGATGCTAGTCTCGTGGCATGATAGATGAGGGCACTGATTCACCTAATGTGACTTGGCAAAGCTGTGCAGCCCAGTTCTTTTATTCTTTCCTGAACTGTGCTAAATCAGCTGCAAACTCTGCATTGCTATTTTGTGCATTATGCACTCTCTCTCTCTCTGGAATATACTTGTTACATGCACTGCAATCCCAGTTTGTTTTCTACTGAAAAAAATCTCTGTCACAAACAAGGACAATAATGCTGACCTATTCTGCATTTGCTTGTGCTTCAGCTTCTAGGATCCTGTATAAATCTATCAGTATTGAATACCAATCTGAAATTTAGCAGAGAGGGATGGCTGTTAGAGCTGCTGACTTGGTAAAACCTGATCTTGGGAAGATCTGCGAGCCAGGTTGATTCAGTGGAAGGAACTGCGGTTGTTCAGTACATCTAGCGATCTGACAACCTACTCTCTGTCTTGCTTGGCTTTCTGTTATCTGTGAGCTTTCTGTGTGTCACACTGTGATGCAAAGTGCTGTGAAAATCATAACGCTGTAGGGTCTGGAAGGTCTTTACTTCAACGTGAAGGCAAGCATAGAATTCAAGTTCTGAAACCATGCCTAATGGAGGGTGTCATATGCCATAACGGGCTTTTAAAAACCTAGCTGAGCTCCTGAATGTGTCCTGCAGCAAACTGTATGAGGTATGAAAACATACACGCTTGCAGTGAGGTACGCAAGGCACCCCAATGAACAGAGCCAGTTTAAACTCCTATAAGCTATGTGCCTTATCCATGCTAAACACCTTGGCAACTAAAGAACTGGGGTGGGTAAACTGTAGAGTCCTGCAGGAATGGGGTGGACATCGTAGTCTCTCTAGAGCTTGGCAGATAGAGGAGCCTTCTGTTTTGGCCTCCAGCATGTAAATGATTTGGGATACCAATAGATTGAAACTCTGGGAGGTTTGTGGACTGGTTCTGTCTGGTTCCGGTATTTACCTCCAGGTGAAGGCATTGAAGCAGAAGAAGGAGAGGAGGCAGAATTAAGAGAGAAAGCACCCAGGTATCTTAAGCAAAATATTTGAAATATTTCCGCAATGAATGCAGCTGCTTGCCATATGACCAAGCCATGAGCCACTTGGAACCCCAAAAGGAGTTTATTTGTTGCACAGAGAGTAAACCATCTGCTGTTTGGTGTCAAATAGGCCACCTGAGGAGGTGTTTTGCAAATACAGAGTGCCACTTGTGCAATACTTTGGCAAACGAATTAGACCCTGAGGTGAGAACAAGCTGCTTTACTCAGTAACGATACACCTGACTGCCTGAAGGCTAAGAGCTTGTCTGTGTCATCAGAGAGCACATCTGTCTGCATTGCTGCAAAAAAAGTGTCTCTGCAGGGCAATAAGATTTTTTGAGTTTCTTAGAGATCATATTGCGTTGGAGGTCAGACAATGTGTTTTTGGACCATGAAGAGTGAGTGGACGCGTGGCATTCCCTCCCTCTCTGCTCTGTTTCTGCTCTGGGTTTTTTCCCATTACTTATATCAGGCTGGCTGAGCTTGGGAGCACTCTGCAGTGTGAGATCATGTCCCAGAGCAGCAGAGCATGTTTGCTGGGATTGTTTGGGATACTGTGACTTGAGAAGGGCCATCCAAAGGTAAACAAAGTTTCTTTCTCCCTTCTTCACTTTTTCCCAAGTGGAATATAAAGCTTTTGCCTTATTTTTAATGGTGTGTCAAGGCAAGAATGCTCTCTCAGTGATACTTATCTTAAGGAGTATTTGTCTGCTCCCTGTAGAGCACAAATTGAGGTCAATATTATAGTCTTACTTTACAGCTGGGTGGACTAGTCTACCCTAGGTTAATTAACTTGGCCAGGATACTGGCCCAGCCTTAAAGCTAGGAATAGACACCATTGACTGCCCTCACGCTATCTCTTTTTGGTTATTATGTGTGTACAGCATTTATTGTAGGAAAGTTAGCATGATCTAATACCTAAGAATAAGCAAAAAAGTTGGATCCTGCTTCCTTGTGTAGCTGATTATCTGTGTGTCTTTGGTAGGCTGAGCTTCTTCCTCTGCCAGCTACCCTATTTAAAAAACTAT